TTATATTTATATTTACATTTACATTTGTATTTATATTTATATTTATATTTATATTTGTATTTATATTTATATTTATATTTATATTTATACTTATATTTATATTTATACTTATATTTATATTTATATTTATATTTATATTTATTTTTATTAATATATGGGTATAGTATTTTTAAGAGTTCTGTGTCGGTCATATGTACGTCTCTGTATGTACATATACTTTTGTATGTATATGTGACCGTCTGTGTGTGTATGTAGTATGTGGCATGCAGCCGCTGGCTGGAGACCCCGTGTTCTCCTCCCTTTGTTGGCAGGTTTCACCATGGACCTGGATAGCTTTAGGAAAGGTGTCAAGGAAGAGTTCTTCGAGTCTAGCTCAGCTTTTCAAGCCCATATTCAACACAAGGCATTGGGCGCAGCAACTTTGGTGGATTCGCCAGCTTTGCGGGCATTGTGTGTGTTCATGCACTGCAAACTTGTTCGGACACACCGACGTTCTGCATGCAAGAGCAGGTGCATTTTGATTCAAATCAGGTCCGATGACGAGCTCAAGTGGATTTGCGAAAAAAACCGGTAAAAAGGTGGTCACCATCCCTGCGGTTTCTTTCCTTCGCCCCCAAGAGCTGGGTGCCATTCTTACACTTCCTTGTGTATATGAAAAACAACTACAAGATGGCTATTGTCGAGAAAGAACTTCAAGCAGGCCATGGAACCACAAAGCTTTGCCTCTGCAGATGGCAGAAGCAGTACCACTCCGCCATCAAAAAGTACGTGGATGAAGAGAAGATCAATCGTGTAGGTGGCCCTCTGCATGTTTGTGCAGTGGATGAAGCTCATGTAGCCAAGCTGGGCTACAGGGTGGGGAAAAAGGCTACAAGTGGTGGCCAGTCCAAGTGCAAGAAACCAAGACTCAAGAAGAGGATGCCTTGTCAAACCAAGTGGCATTGCGGTGCAAGGCATTGTAAAAAAAAGAAGCATGGCACCAGCAAAGACACGAGAAAGCACAGCCGCTGGATGTGGTTTGGTTTTGATTGCGGGTGTCAAGCAAGTGAAGACTCATGGCAAAGGTACCAAGCGTGTTGCTGCTTCTGTCTTAGACCATCCCGAGACTGCACTGGAAAAGAAGCCCAGAGGAGTGGCAAGTATCTCGAAGGTACTATCAGAGCATGTGAAGCATCTGGAAGGTAAGGTCTCTGAGTATGTGCTGCAAACAAACACAGGGGATGCCATGCAAGTGGACATGGCAACAATCGTGCAGGCACTGTCCAAGCAGACTTGCCAGCCAATTTCATTTCTGTGACATCGGGCCCGACATGTGCAAAAGCTGTGTCTGCATTGCAGAAGCTCTAAAACCTCGGAACTCTAAAAGATACTATAGCGTAATAATATATATATATATATATACGAATACGAATCTCTACTGTACTGTATACCTGTATATCTAGATTCCGATATATCTACATATCTCTACTCTATAGATCTGTAGCTGCAAATCTGCAGATCAAGCATGTCTATAGATCTGTATGGAAGTCTGCATGTCTATATATTTATTTGTGAATCAGTGTTTGTTTCCCCGTGATGTAAAGCCTTAGTTTTGAGCTTACCTTGCAAATATCCCGCTGCCATAGGGCCCCTGACCCTTGAGTCTACCGTGTAGCTTCGCAGTTTGTTGGGAAAAGAGCGTGGTACCCTTCGGGACCAGCCGAGCGGGTTTGAGTACCATAGGATCGGGCTTGGGCGAGCCCAATATCGACCCATTGCCTGCCCCCCTCCAACGTTCGTGCCATTGATCTCCCTGACAATGAGCGTAGCTGGTCTACGTTTTCTCGCAGGGTTGGCTCGAGTACTCCCTTGGAGACTCGAAGCGGGTCGTATATTTACGATGGCAACCCCAGTACGTTTCACGACTGGGATCTTCGAACCGCTCTGCGGTTGAAATTGTACGCATTTATGTATGTATGTATGTACGTATGTATGTACGTACGTACATACGTAGGTATGTATGTGTATGTATGCATGTATGTATGTATATTGCTTTAGCACCCCCATGCGATACGGTCGGCCCCTGTCGGTTATGCGCGGTTATAGTTTCAGACCGGGACAGCAGGCTTGGGTCAGGCAAACATCCATCTGTCGACAGGCATCTGCTCCGTGGAAGCGCTTGATTCCGAAGTGTTCTGCAGCCATTCCTGGCAGAACAGGCAGAAGCGAACTCTTGTGCATCCGTTTCACCCGCATGACCAGCTTGAAAACTGCAGGTGCAGGTTGCAGCATAGCGAGTGAGTAAAGCAAAATAAGGTTTTGCAGAGCCAGGTGAAGTGAAGCTTTAAAGTAAAATTACGTAAATCATTACATTGACATGAAGCCAAGTAAGCCAAGCAATTAAATTCAATAGAGCAAGGCTATTAAAGTAAAGAAAGTACAACAAGGTATCGCAATGCGAAGCCAGCAAGGAAGGAATCAGTGAAGGAAGCAAGTAAGTGATCAAGCCGGCCAGCCGGCCAACCAGTCAGTAGGTCAGTAGGTCAGTGAAACAGCCAGGGATTGAGTGAGTGTCTGAGAAGTTGAGTGAGTGCGCAAGTGAGTAAGGGCGCAAGTCAGTCAGTCAGTCAGTGAGTTAGCTAGTTAGTTGGGTAATTAGGTAGTTCGTTCGTTCGTTGGTAGGTTATAGTTAGTTAGATAGCTAGCTAGCTAGCTAGGCAGTTAGTTAGCAAGTTAGCTAGTTAGTTAATCTGTTAGTTAGTTAGCTAGCTTGCTGCTTCGGTTGGAGGAAGGAAAGAAGGTGAAGGAAGGAAGGAAGGAAGGAAGGAAGGAAGGAAGGAAGGATGAATGAGTACCATGTGCAGGTGCATATATATTTACATGGTTCACTGATGCTTTGACCGGCTCGAGCCAAACCACGAACAACCCAAGAGTTTCCACAGCAGCACGAGCCGGAAGCTCAGATGCGCAGATTGCAGCAGAGCCTGGAAAGATGTTGGGATGCTGAGGATGCCGCCCATCCAATGACAGCGCTGCTGTCATGTTTGGAACGTGTGAGCACGTGTGTTGGTATTATGCACGACGGAACGCAGAGTGTGCTTCGGACTGAAAGACCTGCGTGTGTGGTGACAGGAGGTTGTTTACTCTCCGGACGAAGAATGCAACACTCCTAGTTGAGACCTCTGAGTCATAGTATGCTTCCCTTCGTCACTGAGATGAGGTTGGGAATACCTGGATCCCCAGTCCGTCAAGCGCGGCCCATTCTCTGGCAGCCGCATGCTAGTCTTGAGCCAAGCTTCTGCGCTGCCTACTTGCAGGCTGCGCCTAGCCTGGGCAACATCGCGCTTCGGTGACTGTCATGACCAGGTGTGGTACGAACACGAAATGCTCCCGGAGGCTGGCATCCAAGATGGCCCTCCGATGCTTCTTGCGACTGACCGCAGGTTGTTCCTTCCGTTGTGTTCTTTTCCCAAACGAGCTTTTGCCTTAGTCCACTTGCCACGATGCCATGGCGCAGCCAGCACAGAAGAAGGCTCGCACTGCGCGCACCTTCCTTCTGAGCGGTGAATGCAGGTGACCGGCTGAGTTGAGCAGACCAGTGCTGAGCTGCCGATTGGATTTGACTGAAGCCTTTGCCTTTGAGGCTACCCGGACAAGATATGAGAGCAGGTCTCGGGTGTGGTCCTCACCTGCCTGAAGGTGGGCCCTAAAACCGAGGTGGCCTGTGAGACGGCCACCAAGGACAACATGGTCATGGTGGCCGACACCACATGGCGGCCTCCTCCAGGAGGCGAGTTTGTGGCGTCGCCTGAGTGACCGTGCTGATCGCACTGCTCGTGCCCGTGCTCAACGTCTGTCAGCCGGAAGTGCAGCGTCGACCTGCGCTTGGCTTAGAGGCTGTCGCTTGGGAGGAGGAGGAGGAGGAGGAGCGCCTACGACACGCTCTGTGCGCTACAACACTTGGTGGCCTTGAGGGCTTCGGCCCCGGTCACCCTTTGGAAAAGGCTGGTGAGAGCACCCGTGAGAATGCCTCCTGCTCCTTCGCGGACCGCGTCTGCGCCCGCGGCGTGAAGTCCCTTTTGGCAGGCTATGTGCCGTCTCCAGTTCCGAGCCGGTGGCGCGAGGCACGGGTGGCGTTGGCTCCGAAGCCTTTGGGCGCTGCTTGGGGCCACCGCTGAAACCCTGGAGTCACTCTTTGGAAAAGTCCGCATCAACAAGCAAAGCCCGGACATTGCCGGTGCAGTCTATTTTGGCATGGACAAGATGGACGTGGGTGCCGGAGACCGCGGCATCGTGTTGGGGTATGCCAGCGACGAGACTTCGGATTGCATGACTCTGACGCACAGCATGGCCACCCGGCTCCGCAAGACCCTGGCAGAAGTGCGTAAGAGCGGCGAGTGCTGGTAGCTGCGGACTGACCGCAAGACGCAGGTGACGATCGAGTCTATGCTGCGATGGGCCTGGCGAGCCGAAGAAGATCAACGCTTTGTTGATCTCTGCGCAGCATGCGGAGCCATCCAAGGCTGAGCGAACGCAGGAGTGTGCTGGCTACACCGGTGCCGAGACGGTCGCACCGAGCATGGAGCGGATGAACAAAGGGATCAAAGAGAAGGTCATCAAGCGAACTCTACAGCAGATTAAGCTGAAGTACGGCCACCTGAATCAGCCTCTACGGCAGACACACACACGCACACCGCATCAACCCCTCCGGCAGGTTGGTGCTGCCGTCGCTGGCAAGGACTCCACCACTGCTTACAATCTACCGTCAGATGGCCAAACCCGTGGTCAACGCTTGAGCATCGGCGTGGCCAAAGCCCTTGTTCCTGTTTGTCTGGAGACTTGCGGCAGCGACAAGGGCAGAGCCCGACCGTGGATGCTGATTGAGTTCGCCCGGGCCGCCCGGGCTGCCCGGGGGGGCCATTTTTTGCGTTGGCCGAAGTACCAGGAGACTGCCGCCCCACTTTTTTGCCGCGAGCCCGTCAAGTTCTTCGAGTGGGAGCGCGGATTTGTCGGAGTACAAGACCATGAGCGCGGCTCAGGTGGATGCTGCCTTGAAGGGCAGCACGTACCTCACCCGGAGACAGCGGGTGATGCCTCAGATCCGCCTGCCTTGCGCCGGTGCGTTGGTCGGAGCCGATCTGGACGGCGAATCGCGCAAATGAACTCCGATGATCGAGAAGCCGACTTCTGGATGCGGCAAGAAAAGGATGATCTGGGGAGGCCATGTTTTATTCTGCCCTGAGAAGACTTGAGTTTTTCGAGGAGCTGCGAGTGCGCTATGAAGCGCGCATGCCCTTCATTCCGATCAGGGAGTCTCAGGCTCAGCTGTAGCTTTGCAGCATGTGAGTGCGGCAAGAGCGTGGCCCGCGCCGAGGCTTTTCCATCCGCCGCTTCAGCCCTTCAAGTCTTCCCTCCCATGCCAGCACATGCACACGCTTGCACAGGTTTGCACGCGCTGACGGTTGTTCTTTCTTTCTCTCTCTCTCTCTCTCTGCAGCTCAGCTGTGCTGCTCCGCGCAGTTCCGAGGCTCCAAGGAGAGACACACAGCAAAGAGAGCTGAGACGCAAGGAACTTCTTGTAGAGTTTGAGACTAAGTCTGACTCAGGCTTAGTATCGCAATGCAGAGCCAACTTGACGCACACAAGCAAACACCACAGGATCAGACTAGCTGTCAGCTTGACAGGGCACCCGGTGATTTTCTGCCGCTTCAGGCGGCAAGCAAGATCCTGTGACTTCGCAGCCCGTCTTTCGCAATTCAAGGATGGCGGAGTTTTCGGACACAGAGAAGCGAATGCTCCAAGGCCACGCAGATCTCTTCTCATGTCGCTGAAACTGCTGCATCCACGGCGTCAGTAGGCGTTTGGCCGCTCGAGCTGCTTGAGGAGTGCAGTGGGTTAAGAACGAACGACGGCTTCGCGCAGTTTAGCTTGAACCCACCAGGATCCGATGCGGCGGCCGCGAGTAGTGTCAACAGCCAAGGAGTTCCTCCGAGAGGCAGAAGTTTACTGGCTTCGCCGAAGGTTCTTGCAGGATACTGCTCGTTGTGCGAGGTGCTGGTGGCTGATCATCTGGGAGATTTCATTGCTCGGACACATAGCAGCTTGTGGGGCTTCTAGGCAGTGAGGCTGGGATCTTGCAGTGAGATCTGGCTCAACTGAAAGGTTCTTCCGAATGGCGTGAAGCTGCTGGGCCTGACGGAGGAGGACCAGTCCGCTCGTCCGATGATGCGCTGCGGAGTATCCTACATGCTGATGCGTTCGCTAGGAAGTGATGCCCCCCGAGTTGACGAAAGCCCTGAACAGCACAAGTTCGGCTGATGACCGAGAGGAATGGGAACTGCCAGCACCCGCACCAGCACAAACAGAAGCCAAGGTGCAAGACTTGCTGAAGTATTTTCAGGCTGTCAGCTGCCCAGAGCCACCGTGGAATGCATCAACTTTGCAGTCCTGAAATTTGCAGTCCTGAAGTAGAGCTGCAGAAGGGATTGTAAAGGGGAAACGAAGCTGCTTGCAGAAAGTGGTCGCCGCTGTGGTCATAGGCGGTCATAGGGTATACCGGTTGAGCCGCCGTTCTGCATCACGGCCGAAAGGCCATTCCCCCTTGGAGGGGGCCATGCGCTCAGAAACATAGTGCTTATCAGGAATTCGTAGCAAGATTGGTAAGAGCTTTGGATGAGCAGGATGTGGACCATGTCGTCCCCGTGCCTCCTCCATGTCTGAGGACGACGCTGTGCTAGACAAGTACAAGGCACATGTGCCTTGCGCAATAGCAACAGCAACTGCTGAATGCGACTGCTGCTGCTGCTGCTGCTGCCAGTTCTATTGCTACTACTTTCCTCTTCCTAATACTACTACTACTACTACTACTACTACTACTAGTACTACTAGTACTACTACTGCTGCTGCTACTGCTGCTAGTTCTATTGCTATTACTTCCCTCTTCCTACTACTACTACTACTACTACTACTACTACTACAACTAGTACTACTAGTACTACTACTGCTGCTGCTACTGCTGCTAGTTCTATTGCTACTACTTCCCTCTTCCTACTACTACTACTACTACTACTCCTACTCCTGCTGCTGCTGCTGCTGCTGCTGCTGCTGCTGCTGCTGCTGCTAGTTCTATGGCTACTACTTTCCTCTTCCTGCTACTATTACTGCTGCTACTACTACTACCACTACGACGACTACTACGACTACTACTACGACTACTACGATTCCATGACTGCTACGACTGCTACGACAACGACGACGACCACTACTACCACCTGCTAGTACTACTACTACTACTACCACCACCACCACTACCACTACCACTACTACCACTGCTACAACAACTACTACTTCTCCTTCCACTACCCACTAGCCACCCCCTACCAACTACACGTCGTCATTGTCATCAACATCATCACCACCAACATCACGAAAAAGGCAAAACACGTTTCAGTACCGACATCGCGAAAAATCGAACACATTTCATCACCTTTCAGCACCAACATCACCAAAAGTATTGTAAATGCAGAGTAAAAAAACCAGGTTGTGTGATAAAGAAAAGCAAACGCATTTCAAAAAGTCAGCACCACCAAAAAGCAAACACATTTCATCACCAACATCACGAAAAATCAAGCACATCTCATCACCTTTCATCACCAACATCACCAAGAGTATTGTAAATACCGAGTAAAAGCGGGCTTGCATGCGAAAGTATTGTAAATTTACCGAGGAAAAGCTTTCCCGCACCCAATTTCGAGTTTTGGCTGCAAGCCGTGCGAGACACCAAAGTTTAAGACGCACAGTCCAGGAGTAGGGGTGGCAACTAGATGAGAAAGTACAACATCACGAAAGTGCTGTAAAGACCGAGTAAACGGCTCTTGTGGTGATATTGTTGNNTGTTGGTTGTGTTTGCGTAGCACTGTTGTCATCATCCCCCTCCACCCCCGGCAACCCCCCCAGAAGCAGGTCCAAAATCAAGAGGCCGAGTTTGCAAACTCGGCAAGTCGATGCTGAGGCTTCTTATGATGATCGTACATGACGAAAGTGCGGTAAATACCGAGTAAAACGATGTAAAACGGATGTGCTCCTAAGATGGTTTAGAGCAAGTGTAGTTGGTAGGGGGGGCGCCTACCACTACTACTACTACTACTACTACTACTACTACTACTACCAGTGACGCGGTCACTCGAAGTAGGATCCCCCGGTAAAGGTTAGCAGAACCCCAGCGAGGCAAGCCTTTTCAAGCGGCAGCGCGCGCACAGTCCATGCATGAGCTTCACGTTTATGCCACTCATCTTGGCTGATGAACAGATTCCATGAATTTTTCAAAAAGGAGCTTTGGAATCAGCGCCAGAAGAGGAGAGTCTGAGGAAAACTCGTGAAGCAGAAGCTTCAACCGCAAGTTCGCCGAAAGCATTGCATGCCGCGTTTCGCAGGCAGGCGGGGTAACAGAAGAAGACGATCCAACCCATTGGGATGAACATAACGACCTCACAGCGGTAGAAGGAGAAGATGTAGAGTACACCGAAGAATGAACAAGGAGACATTCAATGCGGAGCTGGAGCTGCGAGTACAAGTGAGACGTTCAGTCCCACAGCCAGCAACAACAACTACAACAACAACAACAACAACTACTACTACTACTACTACTAGTACTACTGCTACTCACTGCTACTGCTGCTACCATTTTCCACCACTGCGATTGTTTTTGCTACTATTGATGTTGCCACAGCTGCTATCGCGACTGCCAGGTCGTGGTGAAATTGATGGGAATAGTGATGGTGCTTGCCTTCTTAAGTTTTCGATATCGACCAGCAAGACGAAACCTTAAACACTTTGGGGGTGGAGGCCGGCTTAGAGTACGTGGACAGCGACGGAGAACAGCGTGGTGTGCTGCCCAAGGAGAGGCGCGACCCGCTAAGAGATGTCGTTGTTTCAACTTGCTAAACGTTGACGTGCTGGTGTGACAGTCGCAGCCAAATGTACCGGCAGCAACATAATACATACTTGGTATTTAGGATGAATTTTCGTCATCACCACCAGGACCATCAAAGAGGCACCCGCCATCAGCACGATCAGAATCACCACCATCGTAAACATCATACACTGACTATCATGTTGGTCTTATCGCCCGTGTCAAAGTATCAACTATACCAGGTTCATCTTCGTCATCATCAACATCACTACTTCTCATCGTTGTAGCAGTGGTCGTCCTCGTTGTCACGATTCTGGTGGCGATGGCAGTCATGGTCGTGCAGCAACAGCAGCAGCAGCGGCGGCAGCGGCAGTTGTAGCAGAGGATGGTGCTTGAGCTCCTGTTGCTGTCAGACACTTGTTGTGTTGACGGCCGTGGTCAACTTCTTCGTTGGGAGAAGGATGCCACCGAAGTAGAAGCAACAGCCGCACGAGCAATGTGTTTGTCATTGCCCTCCGGATGCTAAGCGGTGTAAATCTCAGGCGGCCGTCAAAGCGACAGTTAGGGCAAGTCCTGAGGCGTAACCTCCGCGGTCGCATTGCAGAGATCCTGCGGCTGGTTCAGGAGGGTCAGGCGTGCTCATGTGCGGTGTAGTGCAGACAACATTCACGGACAGTTCGGGCACGAGATCCCCCGAAAGAGCTCGTAGGAAAGTCAACAACACTAGCATTTCGCCATGACGCTGAGAAGTTACGAGCCACGATTATAAGACATGATCCAAGCGTACTTGACGCCTTTGGTCAATTATGCAAAGTGCAAAGAGGTGGACCCCAAGAGTCTGTATATCGCGGAGATGCGGCTTCTCCATGAGTGAGCCTCAACTATTTCGAAGTTGAGTGTGCTGAACCAGCTCAAGCCGCGCTTTAAGGCAGCTGACCATCCGCTTGATGGTGAGCTCGTGAAAACCGCAACACCCCCAGTTTGGGGTGGCCGATAGGCTCGGCACGAGCGCCTGTATGTTGCATCCAGGTCTGTCTGCGTGATGTGTCTGAAACCCAGCCACCAGTGCACCATCGGAGCAGCCCCTTGCAGTTACAGTACCTGGTGGTGCCAGGAAAGATGTGCTGGGCCCGCTGTCCAAGTGGACTTTCTATTGGGATCGCCACGATGAAGGCGGGGGACATGCATCAAACCGTCAGCGGAACCTGGTATGACTCAGCCGCTTCGAGACCCGAGATGACACTGACCGTGACGCTGCTTGCGACGGCCTTGTAGGCGTCTTCATCGGGAATCGGGGTAGCGGCAAGGGGGTCTGTCCCTCAGTTGCCTCACGGTCTTGCTCCATAATCTGCCTCAACTCTCTGCCCTGGACCGACACAAACCGTAATTCCGAAGAGCAAGTCATCTGCAAAACTCCTAGAGGCCTCGGCCTCGGCCCAGGTTCACCCTTGAAATTCTATGCCGCAATACCTCATCAGGTTCACGTCGACCAGGTCCTGTGGAGCAACGCCATTGCCTCGGTCACGAAAGCTAGCTCAGGTCAAAACAGCGACATATTCACGGAGGGTTCTGCCACGGTTCAGACGCAGCAACAAAGGGGGCGGGAGTCAGGCCCAGCTCCCCACTACCCTAGTTTTTTTTTATTTTCTAAGTCATTAGTAAAAAATGAACCCACTTGAAATTAGTAAAAAATGAACCCACTTGAAATTCGTAAAAAGGCTCAGGTGCAACAAAGGTACTCCCTTCCTCTTATCTGCTTTTCTGTTCCACATTGACTAAGAAATTGTTGAACGTCAGCTAAAGTTATAGATTTGTTTTTCCCTCTGGCGTCTTTCAGTGCTTGTTTTTGGCTTCCAAATCCTGACCTATCAAAATACACAGCACTTATTATATCATTCTGTTTATTATCAAGCTCTTCACCCATATCAGAAGGAAGAAGATATTTATGATGATTAGAACAGTCTATTAAGATAGCTTTCTATGAATAGTGCATCTTTTGTTTTCATTCTCTTATTGCATAGCTCTTTGATAAGAACTCTTAAAAAGGTTTTTAAATTTATATGCTCGGGACAAAGCACAGACCAATAATAATCCGAATGTCTCAAGGGCGGTGAGACGAGCAGGGAAGGAAGAGCCCCGCAACAAGCTACTGCTAGTCGCCAATTGGACTAAACTCCGAAATCGTATGCTCAATCTGCCTGAGGTCGGTAAGAACTGGCGTGGCTACAAACTGGTGGCAGCCTGGCCAAAGGGCGCGGTCGTGCGCTCGGCGGTAATTTCGTCTCAGGCTTGGCAGGATGAGCACTATTATGCGAAATTGCACAGGACGTCTCAGCATGACTATTGCCCTTTTCATATCCCTTTGCGATACTTCTGCTTTGCTGCTGATGCTGATGTTGGTGTTGTGTTGTAGGTGCACCTGTTGATGCTAGGGGCAACGAAGGTATGGGTGGTGATGACGATGACGGTGACGATGATGATGACGATGACGATGATGATGATGATGAGTGTGAAGAAGATGATAATGACGGTGATGGTGAGGAAGAAGATGATGAGGAGGAGGAGAAGGATGTTGATAATGTTGGTGATGGTGAGGATGATGATCACAATGACATCGACCATGACTACGATCAGCACGCGGACGCGCATGTCTCGATGCCAATGGTGGTGACAAGCAACTTTCGAAATTCACGCTTGAGGTCAGCAACCAGATTTGCACGGACTTTGACGACCAGCTGTTCAGCCCACGGACTCAGTAGGGGTGGGGCTTCCATCATGTCTACATTCCAATTCCCGCTACACTATCCGGCTGCGGCTGCTGCTGCTGCTCTTGCGATCACCATCTGTATCGCCGGGACTTCTACCGTGGCCCTTTCCATTGTTGGCGCTTGTCTTGTTGCGGGAGCTGAGGTCCGCCGCTGTCGCAAGCCAAGCTGCAAGCCCTGCGGCAGGCGATGTGGTCCTTGCTTGGAGCCGCGTTCGCCCGCATGCTAGCCGGAATTTGAATTGCCTTTTCGACGGATGAACGAACAGTCGGGATTCTTCGCGCTCTCTGGCGCTTCGGCTGCGAACTTATATAAGCAGGCCGCGAAACTGGTTCTTCTTCGTCCGGGTGACGTGTACTTCTTCAGCGGCGGGACCGCGCACACGGCCATGGCCATAGCGGATGTTCGACTTCGAGCTGGTGACCTGTCGCTTGCTCAAGGCCCTCTGCGTGTCCGAGGGCATGGGTCTCAGCAGCTACGAGTCCATTGTGACCTTGCATCCGGCCGGCATCCCATATTCTCACGCAAGCCTTGTGGAAGCGTTATAGACGTGTCGCATCTCCCGTTTCGGCTGAGCTCCACAGCGGCCTCTGCATGCAAACCTGCGATCGCAGCAGCCCGTGCTGGAAGCGAGCTCAGAAGGAGCAATGGCCTTCGCACTTCACGCCTTGGCACTGGCGGGAGGCTGGAAGGCGCCATGCCTGTCGACGAGTTCGAGGAGATCCTGGAGGAGGCTTTTTCGAGATCTGGCTTTGTGTGAGGCTGCGAGGCTTGACAATTCATGTGCAGGTGGCAGAGCAGCTTGAAAGCGCCGCCGGCCAGCTAATGCAGGTCCCCTGCGCACGGTCCGCAAGGTTATAGGCTTTGTAGCCGTCCACACATGCAGGGTGGCCCCAGCGATGTTGCAGAGGCCCGCGTGCAGTAGGCCTCGCGTACGTATGCTTTCGTCGGCAGACTTGAGGGCATCCATGGCTCTTGTGAGGCGAAGCAGCCCAAGCCCCCGTTTGCCTTCCTGTTTGGGTTGGGTTTCGTCAGTTTGTGCTCAAGTCATTCTCCTTGCCAGGCAGCTTTGGCGCACATTGCGGCAGGAGCTGCTTGCAGACCAGGCTTTTTAGCATGTGCTTCAAGCTTCAAGGGTATGATACGGTATGTGAGAATCTTGTTCTGAGAGCTTGTAATCAAGAGTATAGGCGACATGCAGAGGCGACGATGCGTCTGCTGCAAGAGCACTGGGCCGCCACGGTTGCACAGTGCTTCGCCAGGAGAGACGCTCAGACAAGAAACTGTTGATGCTTCTCCATTTCTGGCATCCTTGCGTCTCCAAGTTCGGCACAGGAGCCGATTCCTTCGAGAGCAGTGTTCAGCCACAGTGCGTCGGGCACTGCGGCGCCTTCTGCAAGGCAGAGGCGCGGGGTGCCAACCCGTCTCGGTGCCAGGAATGTGTGCGTGGTGGCTTTCGTGGCTTGGGCGTGCATCGGGCAGGCTTCGCCTCTGAGAGGGAGCATGAGCCAGAGCAGGGAGCCCTGCATGGGGTGTCGCCTGTCTGATCTCAGACGTTCTCGCCTTTCCTTGCCAGGTCCCGGAGCTCGAGCCTGAGAGCCCCGCCCGACCGTGCCGCCAGCGCCCGAGCACCCGTCACGGGAATTCCAGGGACCGTGTGCAGTCTCAGCGATCGCAGGTGCGGAAGCGCTCCCGAAGCCCGCTTCGCCAGGGCACAGTGTCGAACTGAAGGTGCATTGCATGAGAGGAGTCCTTGTCCGAGATTCAGAGGGAAAGGCATGTGTGCGTGCTGAGCATCAGGCCCTGCATGCGAGATGAGCAAGCGGCAAAGTATTGGCAGTCGCGGAGTTGCAGTGTCAACGGCTTCGTTGCGTAAATACTATCAAAGTCCTGGTCAACGGCTTTGCGGTGTCTTCCGACACATCGAACTAGTTTTGCAAGCGCTCTTCTGTGCAAAGCATGGGCGGCGCTCAAAACGTGGTGCTGCTGTGATTGCGGCGCAATGGGCCGCGTGGCATTTTGCGGGAGTCGTAGACATCCTTCGATGCATTCCGGGGCTTATGTCGCCGAACCTCCGAAGCGCTGAGAACAAATAATCTTCACTTCTCGATGCCGGACTTCCGCGATATGCATTAAGGCATAGATCGCGAGACTCTAACTGACAAGTTGAGGGGCCGTCCTGAGCTCAACTTCCAGGAGCCCAATAAGCCCCCAGGTCGGACGAGTTTGAACGGAATTGCATTGAAGGGGCACAGGACCACCTCAGCTTAAAGACTGCTACTGCGTGCATCGAAAAGGGTTGGGGGTCCGCAGAAGGACGCTTTGCCTTGGAACCTCTCCCCNNCCCCCCCCCCCCCAAAACAAAAAAAAAAAACTGTCCCCTTCGTCCAGGTCCCGGCCTCGTTTGGCGCCACCGAAGGTTCCGCAGCGGGCGGAGGACTCGCAGTCGGCTCTCTGAGTTAGAGGCTCTGTAGCCCTGTAACACCTCACTTCCCTTCCCAGACGAAGCCGCCGACTTGTCGGCTCCTCGGGGCACGGATTCTTTGGGCCAGAGCCGGGCCGCGCTTTCTTTGTGAGTTGCTCTACCGCGAAATCGGTTGTCGATGCTACATTCAGACGTGCCTGCTGGCTTCTACGAGACTCTAAGGGCATTACCTGGACACCAAGGGCCAGTTGCAGGCAGTCTCCTGGCACATGCCTGCATACCTCGATGCCTGAGTGCTGTTGTCTCTGGATGCCTGTGCTGGGGGGCCCCTCGCATTGATGAGTTCAGGGGCCTTTCTCGTCGCAGCAGATGGCGCTGTGGCAGCTGACCTGCAGTTGAAGCATTTTTAGGGCCCACCGAGAGCCGAAGCCGAGAGCGCCGAGAGCGCCGAGAGCTCTGAGCTCTGAGTCTCCCCATTTGGTGTGCCTTACAGTAGATTTCTCCGTGTTGTTTTACTGGCGTAAGAACGAGCAGATACCCATGGTGCTGTCCTCTCGAGTAAGGCACGACCACGACATGTTGCCAAAGACTCTGCGGCTTCGACGTAGCACAGACACCGACTTCTTCACGATTCCCGAGCCTGCGTCTCAGACGATCCCTCTTGGCTCTGGCGATGTTTCCGTGGCCCACGAGGTTCTTCCCAGCTCCTTTGACTCCCTTCAAGTCGCTGCCAGTCGTGCCAGCGAAGGACCGGAATCACCTGAAGACATCGCAAAACGCCGAGTCTCAACACAGCCAGTGACCCACGTTCAGGAGGCGCCTCCCGCAAGGCCAAGGGAAGGGACGGGACAAACACTGTGGATGGGACTCGGACAGACAGCTGAGCCTTGTTGTGCTCTCAGAGCAGTGCCTCCTGAAGGCAAGTGCCACAGATCAAGGCCCAGGCTGGACCAAGGGCAAAGGGGGACTCCCAGCCGTCTCTCTTTGGGGGCGCAGGCGGATCTCAGCCATCTGGTGCCTGCCCCGGCTGCTCTGTGCATGTCGATGTGCGGTTGAATCCCTGGCCTGAACAGGGACCTCTGGCGTCACTCTTCGCAAACGCCACTGCTGCAGCGCATGCCCGGTCCTGTTTGCGAAGTTCGATAGAGCTCTGGCGAAAACCAGCCATGCCATGTTCGAGGCAAGTGCGCAACAGCAGGCGATGGTGCGGATCACAGTGACAAGCAGAGTGGAATGCTGGAACTGCAACCTCTTCTGCAATCTTTGTTGGAGCTAAGGCGGTCGGGAAGAAGGGAGAGAAGGCCGTCTTTCTTGGACTGTCCGGGTGACTCTACATCGTCGCTAGCTGGGGCAGCTAGGGTTTGGTCCGGCTTCGGACCACAAGGAAGATGGCTCTTCTGCCCGTCTCCTCCTCTCTCTACTGTCTACGCTCTCTTCATCCCGTCCCGCGCTTCCGTCACTTCCCCTTCTCTCCTGCTCTCTGCGGCATTTTGTTGTGCTGTCGCCAGGGCAAGGGTAAGCACGTCGAGGAAGGCCGCGAGCTGGTGATTCTGAAAGTCGTAGCACTCTTGCAAGGGTTTCAGGCTGTCACTGGAGGGCTCCCAACAAGTCCAGCCTGTCTGAGAGGTGAGCACCCGCAGGGCAACTCCAAGAAAGGGCGGGGTAAGGCCAAGGAGAAGCAGGCCGATCTCTCCGGACATGTTGGTGACGTGCAAAGCGAACAAAAAGAAAGACGTACAGTACTACCTCAGGAGGCCGATGCGAACGGCTGGGTCTGGCCCGAAACCCAGCAGAGCGAAGCTAACCAGACTACTTCAAAGCGGCGAATTCCACGTAAACGGATAGCGGTGCACTTTCCAAGGTCCGCCGAGCATGGATGGAGCAATGACAAGGTGCCTTTCTAGAGACTCGAATGATGCACGAGTGATTGCGGTCCGTGCATCTATTTCTTTCTGCCAGTGGTGGGACTGGTCCTGGAACGGCCACGGCTGGTCCGAGAACGGAGACGGCTGGGAGAACGGCAAGCAAGCAGGTGCAGCACGTGCGTTGGAGAGAGTGTAAGTACCGTTGCGCTGAGAGCATCTCGGGGGCAGTTTTGTAGTCACATGCCAAGTTGTAGAGACTCATTGCCAGGCGACTGGTCCGGAGACGCAGCACAGAATGCGCCTCACAAGGACAAGGGAGAGAAGGTCACTGCAGTCCAGGCCTTGTGTAGTGCATGCCCTGCCAGTAGACTTCCAGTTTCTGCTCAGTAGCATGGCAGCATGGCGTAGCATGGGTGCATGGGCCATGCGCGAAGAGCCGGCTGCACGAGTCATGATGAGTCCAACGCCTGGAGTTTGGGTCCTTGGGTTTCGGAGTTCACCGACCTGCATCCTGAACTTGTCACCCGTTGGGAGCCGCGGATGTCCAGCAGATGCTCAAGGCCGCAGTTGTGGTAATGGATATGCAAAGCTTGAAGCCCGCCTTGGAATCCCAAACATCGTGGAAGAGACGGCGGGTGTGAGGCTGCGAAATGCTCGTGATGCCCATGCAGACCACCGTCACGATGCCCTGAAATCATTTTTGGCCCCGGGCGTATTTCGTCACAGGCTTCAAGTGGCCCGTGACTAGTTCCGTTTAACCGCCACCCAAGGGCCTCAATCCGCTGCCGCTGCGACCTACTTGTCTCGGTATCCTTGCGAGGCAGCATTCGGCAACCTCAAGTGGGGTCCACCCTTCCAGGCAAGAAGCGGGGACGTGGTTGGGTGCTGCATCGCTGCAGTGTCCCGGGCAAGTAGCCTGGAAGAACTCGCACCTGGGAGGATGACGACCTTTTCCCGGAGGTGCCGGAGTTTCACGTCACTCTGAGCTTCCGCATTGCGAGCCAACATGGGTTCATTGGACTGCAAACCTATGTCGGTGCTTCTTTTTGCTTGCGGCAGGAGCCCATCCGCCGCGTTCTGGACGAGGGCATTGTTTGGGAGGCCACTGCAGAGTTTGCTCCGGCCCTGCTGGTAGAAGCCGATCTGTCCTATCTGTCCTCTCTGGTCCTATCCATCCATCCATGCATCCATCCATGGGTCGTTCGATCTATCTTTCTATCCTTCTATCCAACCATCTATCCATCCATCAGTCCGTCAATCCGGAGAAAGAAAGAGTGCCAGACACGCGGCTCCAAGAGGCGGCGCGAAGCCGCGACTTCCAAGTTGGGGTCGATTTACGAGTGATTGGGGACCCCGGGCAGCCAAAAGCGAAAGGACCAAGTTCTTGTTCCAGTTTTCGCCAGGTGCCGGGAAAGGACAGGAATGTCGGATATCGTCGAGCACTTTCAGATCGGATCCGATGGTGTACTTGGACGCCTGCTGAAAGTTGATGAACGGGCAATGGTTCGGTGGGTTCCTGTCGTTCCGAACAGGAAAACGTGGTGCGGGGACATGACTTGGAAGGAATTTTGTTTCCAGCAAACTCGTGTTCGCTTGATGGGAGGGCTTGGAATTGCCCAGACACCCAGGAAGCAGAGTTGCTCGTGGCAAGATATGATGAAAGATATTGACGTAATCGTGAACGGGTGTTTGACTTGCGCAAAAAGAAGGAAGAGCCCGACGAAGCAGGAACGAGTCAACACGAAACCGACACACTGAATGTTGGGAAAAAGTCACGGTGGACTTTGAGGGGCCCATGCTGCCGTCCGATGGGTACGGGAACGGTCCTTCACAGTGTGTTTGTTGAACCGTGCCAAAACCTCACGAAGCCAGAGGTGACTATGGGAACAGCGTGCTTTTGAAGGAGAATGTCAACCTAACCACATTTGGGGCTGCTCTGCGAAACACAAAACCAAAAAAAAACATTAAAAGCACCTTAAATTGATTCTCGAAATTCTCGCACTTCTGTTTTGTCTATATATCTATCATTCTATCTATCTATTTTCTGTTTATTTAGTTATCTATCTACCTATTTATGTATCTATCTAGCTCTTGTCTATCTATCTACCCATCCATCCATCGATTTATCCATCCATCCATCTATCTATCTGTATGTCTCTTCTTTTTATCTATCCACCTATCTATCCATCCATCCATCTATCTATGTATCTACTTATCTATTTATCTCTCGATCTGTCTATCAACCTATCGGTTCATCTATCGATCTGTTTGTCCATGCGTCTATGTGTCCGTCTTTCTATCTTAGTATCAACCTATCTGTGTGTTTATTTGTCTGTGTATTCTGTGTGTATCCACCGATTTCTTTATGCATCTGCCTCCCTACCTTCAAATACGGATACACATCTTATGTCCATATTAAATTGGATGGATGGATGCTTGGATGCTTGATAGACAGACTGACAGACAGACTGACAGACGAGCAGACGGGCAAACAGGCAACAGAGACAGACAGAAGAAAACAGAGAGACAGGCAGAGCGAGCCAGGCAGGCAGGCAGACAGAGAGAGAGAGAGAGGAACACCCTGCAAGCAAGCAAGAGAGAGACGGACAGAGATGCAGGGACGCACGGACGGCAGACGGACGGACAGACAGATGGATGGATATTGCCTGTCTCTCCAGCATCTTGTTTTGATGTCCAGGAGCGCTGGATCTCGCCCCTGGGCGTGCGCTTCTCTCAGGGCAAGATCCACCCGTTCTTCCACGAGCGGGGGCCGATCTCTGAGGCGGGTTCCACAAGAGAGAGCCGATTAAGGAACCTGTGACAGCTACAGTCAGGCAAACAAGCTACCGCGATGTGGGAATTGCCATCATGTCTGAGTCATGTCTGTCAGTGTCGTTCATCATGTTCTTCGAGAAAAAACGCGCGCAGCCGGCTCATGCCATGGCACGCCACAGCATTGCAATGCCAGGTCATGCTTCAGATCAAGCTGAAGAATGAGGAGGGAAAGAGATGTAAGCCGCGGCCCAGGACTGTTTTTCGAATCCAAAGAAGCAGGATTCGGGCGCTTGTCATGAAATGGACGATTCCTTTTGCCACCAACACAAGACTTCTTTCGGTTCTGGGGCATCCGGGTCAGCTTCTCAAGCAATGAGGCGTATCGAGCCGCCCTTCCCTCCCGTCCGGCTCCTGCACCTCAAAGAGCAGGCAGGTGATCACGAACCCTACAGGAATTTCTGGAGCAAGACTCTTGCGAGTCAGGCATTGGTCTAGTAATCTGTGTAATATAGTTTGGCGCATGTGTCGGTGCGTTGACAGCGACCATCGGATGACCGGGTGTGCTTCTGTCGACAAGTGTGACTCGGATCGCCACTTTCGACATTCTGATGGTGCCAAGCACAGCAGCTTGCTTTCTTGCCCTTCATGTTGTGGGCCCGGCGCTCCAGGGCGTCCTCGTTACCTTGGACAACCGACGGCTCTATGCGCTCCAGCGTTTCGCGCTGCAGGCCGTCGATGTAGATGTGATCAGGGTCTGGATGATGACGCAGATGGGGATGGGGATGAAGAAGAGGAGGGTGATGGTGGTGGTGATGGTGTTAGTGATGATGGTGACGATGATGTTGGTGACGATGGTGACGATGACGATGATGGCGCTGATGAAGATGACAATGACGTTGCCTACGATGATGTCAAAGACACGATGGTGAGACTACTGGTGAGGCTGTGGATGACGATGAGCATGAGATGATGGGTGCGGATGATTGTGATGACGTCCACGACGCTGATGCTGATCAGACTGAGGAGGGGATGAGACGGAGAAGATGAGGAGAGGAGTTAGGTGACAACAGGACGAGAGGAAGTAGAATTTGAATTGCAAAGTCATTTGTTAAGCTTGGAATTGTGGATCCAATTGATCAACCCCGATGCAATGACTGGCTTTAGCAACAGCAGGGTTCAGGAATATTGTTACAAGCTATTCCGGAGCGCAACAGCAGCCTTGTCATCATCACCTGACGCAAGTACGGATCACCATCGTAGACTGTGGCGTAGCCTCCGAAGGAGTGGCCCACTCCATGCCTGGTGCGCGCACTCTGTGTCGATGAGCTCACGCCCACAAGGCCTGGCCATGGACCGTAGGCCAAGGTTGTCAGAAGGTCCCTGTTCTCTTTCCTTTAAATGAAATCTCCGGATGCTGCGCCCTTTTCTGGCCCAAAAAGCTATCTGCAAACGCTGATGTTGCCATCGCTGGCATTGTCCTCGATCAGGGGATCATATTTTCTGGTTTTTCTATGGTCGGGGGGCCTACTGTTTCCTCACCCAAGGACTGCTTTCGGGGTCTTAAGAAGGAGCTTGGCCCTAGGCGTCGCAGCCAATGGAGGTGGAGGCGCTCCCTCGCAGTGGGCTCCCGAGCGCAGAGGCTCATGACCTGGACCAGGGCTTCTTGCGTGAGGACAAGGCCCAAAGCACGTTGCATAATTTCGTGAGGCGAAGTTGGGTGGTCATGGTCTAAGCGATGAGCCCTCACAGCAGTCGGACATGTTGTTGGTATCGTTTTGTGGATGAGGCGTGGGGTAAGGAAGCGCTTCGGGAGCTGCGTGCCATTGCCAAGCTCGGGTTGCCTTTAGCCCTGTCGGCGGCCAGCGGCACCATCAACAATCTGCTGACAAGCATGATGCTTGGGCATTTAGACACACTGGCCTTGGCTGCAACATCGGTGAGCTACATATGGACCTCTCTTACGGATGTCTTTTTCTTGTCTGGGTTCCTTGGCTAGAATGGCTATGAAGGTCGAGCAGGGTCGACTACACGACCTGATCGCTTCGGAGTGTGTCAAAAGTGTAGCCCAGGATCGGGCAGCTTTCGATGTTCTGCAGTCAAGCTTACGGGGCCGGGAATTTGCCTCTGGTGGGCGTCTGGCTACAGATCTACCTCGTCTTCACTACAGTCGCCGGCGTGCCATTCAGCTTCACTTCATCTCTTCTTCTCTCCGTCTTCTAAAAACGGCCTGTGACTTTAGTCCGACAGCTGCCCAAGGCCCTTCATGCTGCTCCGCTTCCTCACTGAGCCCGTCCTGAAAGCCTTCGGGCTCCACAAGGACGTGGCGCACCTTGCAGGCGTCTACGCCGTGTGGTCGCAGGCCCCGCTTTGAGACCTGTCGAGCAGCTGATCCCTGCCTTTCCTGTCCCACTCCCTCGAGCCCCGAGGTGGGCTTCCTGCTGGATGTGTGGTACTATTCCATCAAGGAATACTACGCAGCACAGCAGATAACACTGCCAGCTGCTATCGTTGATGCTGTTTTCTTAGCGGTAAACCTTGGGCTTGGCTATGTCATGATCTTCCGCATGAAGATGGGAATCATTGGAGCTGCCTTGGCCTTCACGATATGCAAGCTCCTCCGTGCCTCCGATGAGCACTACATTGCAAAGCCAGCGCTCGAGCTTCGGCAATGCCTAACCGGCCTAACCTGCGACTTAGGCACGGTGACCTTCGTGGCCTTCTGCTGGCAGCGGGGTTATCACAAAACCACCTGGCCTGGCTGGTCCTGTTCGGAGGTTTTCCAAGCAAGCCGCTGGCGGAGGCTGCCAGGCTGCAAGCTGCGGATTTCGTGGCGGTGCGTGGCGGTGCGAAGCATTGAAGTATAGGGATTTTCTGAGATTACAAATGCTGCCCGTCTACAGAGCTTCGAGCTCATACAAGATTGCAAAACTTTCGCTCGATTCCGCTGGCACAACCGGGACGTCAATAGAACCGAGTAAGCGAAGCGAGTAAGCGAACCGAGGTTACTGTCAATGACGCTGCCAGCAGCCCTTGGCGGCGTCGCCGAAGAGCTGCAGATGCAGGTGGGAATGACGCTGAACCAGGCCTAGAGGCACACAGGTTTTGGCCTTTAACCGACTTCTTATAGAATGAGGCTTAAGTATTATATATATATATATACAGATATATAGATACCTATAGACCCTCCGTCACGCAAACCTCGCTGGTTTTGTCGGAATGTTGCAGGTGTGCACGCTGATGGCAGGAGAACTTGGGCCGGCGGAGACCGCGGCCTTCGCCTTGGTCCTCGGATTTGAAATTTAGCAAGGAGGAGGAGAAGGAGAAGAGGGAGAAGGGAGTGTGGAGGGATTCATGTGCAGTTTTCAGGTCTCCTAGTTTCTGAGGTCATGAATTTGCTAATTGTCGGCTTCCTCTACTCGGTGGCCATGGGCGACGCCGTTGGGATACGCATGTCCAGACGCCTAGGAGAAGGCCAACGAACCATCGGGTTGAGAGTGTTCGAAGAGACGTGGTGAAGTGATGTGTACATCCTGCCATCTAGGCAAGCCGAAGGAGGCAGCCTTTGTAGCTCGCATTGGTCTGCTTGCTGCTTGTCCCCATAAGTTGCCGGATTCCGAGATGTTCGTGGACGAGAGTTCGTATGAGTATCGAGACACAGGGATGGTGACCAAGTTTCGGGTCAATTCCACTAGTTGCAGCAGCAGCCTCACTGTTGCTGTCGGGGGACTTTGCTTTCATGTAAAAGCTTAGTCCAGCAGGATGGAGCTGAGGCTTCCCTCGCAGGCAACGTGGTGATTGCGACGCTGTTGCTTTGCGCTGCTGGTGTTCAATTTCATTGTGTTTCGAGTTCGTCTAGGCTTTTGAAGTCTTTCTTGTGCACGTTGCCTCCTAGTTGATCTTTGGTGAGTGAAGGCTGCATGCATTGACTGGCAAAGGCCGGGAGGGCCATTGTAAACGTGGCATCGCCAGATCTCAAGGTGCAGCAGCTTATGATGCAGCACGTCAGAACTGGCAGCAAAGTCCGCGCAGGGATAGTCCTCACACTGACCCAACGGTGTGGCTGAATTGGACGAACCACCGTGACGTGCTCAGGAGCCTTCGCTGGGCGGGCGCCACGGCCGGATCCAACTGAGCACACCTTCCTTTCTTCCTGTGGTGCGAGAGGGGCCCGGGGGTCCTTTTTTCTTTTTGTGACTGCAAGGTGCCACAACGATTGCCTTGCTTGGGGTGGCGCTACCCCTTATCGCTATTCTCAATAAACAAGGACAGCACGTATCCACCTTTCTGATGCCTTATCTGCGAACAACGATTCCATGGTAAAGCATGGTTAGCAGGTGTGATTTAGATCAGGTGTACGGTGCAACATGCTCGACATGTAGTGTCTGGATTCAGATTGAGGGCTTCTTCGGGCTATGCTGATCCGTGGGGTGTCATTCCTTGATACATAGCCGCACAGAGTGTTTGCAGCAGGACGTGCAAAGGTCCCATCTGCTATTCTCCCTGTGCCTGGGATGCATCATTATTCTGAGTTCTTGTGGAAGCAGATGGATGTTTGGAAACAGCAAACCTTCTTACTTTCCTAGCAGCAGTCTTTCCTCAGTGCGTCTGTTGAGGTTTGCTGCTGGATTCTCGGCTTTCCATGCAGCTACTTCCTCAGCCGCTCGGAAGGCTCGCAGGAATCATTGGTAAATCTCTTGCTGTGCATCGTTGGCCGGGGCTGTATCATCCTGTGAGCCTTCAGCCAGTTGTTCAGCTGCGGAAAATTCATGGTTTTGCTGCGTGATTCCTTCCGTGTTTTCCTGTTGAGTCTGCCTTGCACCATCGCCAACCTGAATTCCGCGCACTCTGATATCACCGTTCCACGTTTTCTGGTGACTAATGGCTTTGAATCGTTACGTGCGTCACGACTGCGATGCCGACTGCAACGACGATGCGGACGAGGATGGCAGTTGTGACAAAAATGTCGATGGTTTTTTGCGAGCCGTACGTTTTCTCTTGTCCCTTTGAATCGTGTCGCTCATTTTTGGCTGAGCTAGAGCAGCACATGTCAGGTGGCGCCTCTAGTCTGTTAATCACTGGGCGGACCTATGCCTTCCTGCCAGGTGTCACAGGCATTTGCGAGGGCCTGATGATTGGCTACGCACTCGCCTCTTTGTCATGAAGCTGTGTGGAAAGGTGCATTTGTGCCAGAGAGAAAGAGCGAGCGAGAAAGGCCTAAGGCTGAGGCCTCCGTGCTCGGCAACTCCCAAGCCCATAAGCCAGCGAGAGAGAGTGCAAAGAAGCCTCCGATGAGCCTGAGACCGTTTACCGACAGAGGCGAAGCGCAAGCCCAATTCGCCTGTTCTCGAGGCCACCATTTGCCTATTCTTCTTCTTCTTCCGTTCCGACTGGGAGAAGCTGACCCAAGACGCCTCTGAGCGGTCTGAGCGTGCCGAAGTCCAGGAGCCGGCGGGCTAAGCATTTGCCGCTTCGGGCCTCTAGGCGCGACAAGCAGCGACAGGAGCCAAAGATGCTTCTTAGAACCGCAGTGCATTTCCTGCGAAGCAGGCTGTGGTGAATGTGTGGCGCGACTTCGCCAGTAAACGCCTTGTGTGTAGAGTGTAGGAGTGTATGTGGCTGCATTACGTAAGTGTAGTTTTACAGTCATGTTCGGATTATCATGATTTTTTGATATGTATATTCATACACTGTAATATGCATATGCAAATACGTGGAACATGTGCACACAGAGAACTCTCGCTCTCCCGCTGTTCTCCGAGTATATGCTTTTGTTCGTTGCCCTGTGGCCCAGCACCGCTTGAAGCTCGGAGCCTAACATTGAGACACAGACGGGAATCGACAAGTGTAGCTGCTTTGCGTCTGCTCGTTTGCATTTCAGGCAGCTGTAGACTGTCGCAGGCTGCGTGCAGAGAATCGCAAGTTCACGAACCGGCTCTGCGGATTGCAGCTGGAGGCAGGATCGTTTCATTGCGTAGCTGTGCTTGAGAAGCGACATCTAAGTGCAAGCAATTCTGTGGCTTCACGATCAGGCTCAGAGAGCTCGGGATTGGCACTAAATTCTGCCAGGTGGAGAGCAGAAGCAATGCCTTCGACACCTTTAGCTGGGTCACGGAGGCCAACCCATGAGAGCACAAGCATGCCGATGTGCGCACATGGGATAGATACGTGTGTGTGTGTGTGTGTCTGTGTCTATGTCTGTGTCTGTGTCTGTGTGTCTGTGTCTGTGTGTCTCCCCTCCCCTCCTTCCATCCCTCGCCTGTATACATTGACATGCGCATGACATTCACTACATCTACATGTAGAACATGTACACATGCGGCTAGGCATATGCAGATACGTGCAAGCCAGCTAGCTAGCTAGCTAGCTAGCTAGCTAGCTAGCTAGCTAGATAGCTACATAGCTGACTAGACAGACAGACAGACAGACAGACAGACAGACAGACAGACAGACAGACAGACAGACAGACAGACAGACATGCAAACGGATAGATGGATACATGCACGGCATAGAAAGGGCAGGCAGGTAAATGGACAGGTGGACAGGTCGGTGTCTTAATGTTTGTGTGTGTGTATATATATATATACATACATACATACATACATACATACATACATACATACATAATTATACATGTACATATACATATGCACGCCCTTTCATATACATCTGTATGTACAGATATATGTATATATATATATATATGTATGATGTTTATATATATATATATATGTGTGTGTGTGTGTGCGCGTATTGGCGTGTACTGTTGTCTGTTTGTTTCTTGTTATGTGAACACATCGTATGATTACATCCGTAGGCATATGTGTGGTTGTAGTTGCTGTGTCTTACTAACAGAACAGAGAGATGAAATTGATGTAAAGGAATAGCGATGAGTGCAGAATGCAGTGCATTTTCACTCTATTGCCTACCTTCTATGTTGCATTCGGGCTTGCCGAGGCAGCTCAGACGGAGGCGCCTCGCTTCTGCCGCCCCGTGTCCCTCCGCGCCTACGACCGTGCAGCCAGCCTCTCAGCGCGTCCAAGCTTGCCGTCCTCGAAGGCTTAGGTACGCCTTGGTGTTCTGTTGATCTGGCTTTCATCATCGCCTCAGCCACACAGACATGTCTTTCTGTCGCCGCCACCCAAAGTACAGCATACACTTGCACTGTTGATCAAATGCGAGTGTGGAAACATAGCAGAACGGTGCATACATATACAAATCTCTCTGCACATCTATACGTACACCGAGAGCGATAAATGTACAACCCATCCGTGGCATTCAACTGGGATTCGAAAGGGTCGTCTTGGATGGCCAGCTGAGCTGTGTGAAGCCGTAGCCCCCGTAGCCCTTTGACCAGCGCGGAGGTGTCGCTTCTGCCAGTGCTCGTGGCCGGCACCCCGGGCCTTGCTTCTGAATGGCTATAATCTATAAGACTCAAGACTCCCCTGGGATGTTTAAGACAGTCTGAGGTTCACTCGCTCCTCTGCCTGAAGCTGCGCCCCTACCTCCGCTCGAGGCGCGCAGGAGCGACAGACCAGGCCCTGCAAACGAGCTGCCCCGGCCCACTCCAGGTGGCCCCTGCTTCGCTTCTTGGCGATGACCCTGCCTTCACCGCAGCAGCGGGAGTTTGCGTCGAGACCCTAGCGACCCTAGTGGGAATGTGGTGACGGGTCGACGAGAGCAAGACGAGCGGTGAGCAACATAAACGGACAACCTAACAGCCTCGTGACGCAAGAAGATCAAAGTCATCGTGCCAACATCGCTGCCTGCAAGCACGAACAGCCAGCCGACGGTATTAGGAAGGTGCGCCTTAGGATGGAGTTTCCAGTGTCAGAAGTCATTGCCAGTGCGAGGAGCAAGCGAGTCCTTCTGCAACACATCCTGGAGCTCTCCAAGCCGACGGGCGAGGCCTGGGCAATCGTGGGCAGCGGGGAGCGGCGATTCGCACCTTAGCCACTGGGTGAAGGTGCTAAGATGCCCCCGTGTTTGTGTCGGCTACAAGGCTGAGACGGCTTGGGGCCCTACAAAAAATCGACGGAATCGCGAATGCAGCGGACAGCGGACGCATGCTGGACTGAGGTTGTCGCTTTGGGCAAGGGCCGAAGCTGTGTCTCGTCGAAGCTTTCTGTCGAGCGACCACTCGCCTTGCTCCAGGCTCGGGGAGCTCGGAGACCCTAACAAGGGGACCCCAACTGCTTTCCTGGACTTTGAGCCTTTTGCCGTGGGAGGCTCCCGGCCCCCTCTCGAGGATTCAGCGCCGCGTCGGGAGCCCACAAGCGACGAAAAAGACAGCCGAAGGAGAGCTGAAGGAGACGCGTAGCCGCGGCCCAGGTGCTGTTAACTCTGCTGCCCATGAGCTGCCTCCCCTACGTGCGCAGCTCCCTGAAGGGTGCTGAGCAGGAGCGGTGTGACAGCCACGGCCGTTTCGACCTTCGGGGGTTCTGAGCGCAGGACTGGATCATTGGTTTACTTCTCGCTTGGGGCAAGGCCGGCCCTGCCCCTCCCCAGGCTGGCGCACCGAACATCACATCCCGTCTAATTTTCCAGGTTGCGGCCTGCATGCTACAGCTCTCGCCGCTTCCATGAGAGGCAAGGGCACAAGGATGCTACAGCGCTACGTGCTTTGACAGTGCCTGTGTTGACAGGCCATTGGTCGTCCGTGTGGACCGGATCAAAGCAAACAGAGCAACACACAGCATCAAATGTGTAGATGTAGAGATAGTAGGGAGTGAAGAGAACTGATGGACTCTTCAAAGCCACATGCAGCATGATGATGATGAGCAGCTCCAGTACTGAAGCATAGAGAGCGCTGCACTGCCATACTACTGCTGTACGAAATACTACTCTAACGCATCCCTTTCACTTGTCTGTCAGATTGACCTGACGTGAAGGCCTCTGACTGACAAGCCGAGACCGGTATGCCTGCTGAAGTGCGGAACCAGCTGTAGGAAGTCGAGATGGGCAAGACATGGCAAGACACAGGCCACACCCACTGCCCTCACAGCGCTTCGGCTCCGATGGCTGTTCCGAACAGATGCAGGGCTTTCACGACCGCTTTGACCTTTTCCCTGCATGGGAGAGGCAAAGGAGTGACAAAATAGTGCAGTGCCAAGATCTATGCGCCATCCGTCATCTGCCGCGTCTTCACGTCCGCTTCGGAGGAAGTTCATAGCTGCTCGCACTTCACAACAGAAGCAGTCACTGACAGTCTAGTCGCAGAGCCCCGGATGTCGCATGAGCTGTTTGCATCCGTTCAAGTTTGCTGCCGTCGCACAGTTTGTTCCGATTCTGCAAACCCGAAGTCGCAAGCAAGATTTCCAGCAGAATTCAGAGTCGAGCTTTCCGGTCCCAACATGCTGTGACCCATGGGAGCTACGTGCAGCGTCTACGGCACCGAGCCGCATCCCAAGGGCAAAGAGTCTCTGTAAAGCAGAAGTGGAACGGGGGAGATCTATTTGATGTGTTGCAGGTGTCGGAGGTGCATCAATGCAGAGTCCGGGCTCCCCGTGGTGAATGCTAGGCGTGCAGCTATGCAGCTAAGCCTTGGTGTCTTTGTTGACATCACCGAAAGGTCCCCGCCGCACAACATGTAACGGGTCGTTGTTGGGCGGTGTTGCATGGTGTTGCTGCGTTTAGGATTCATTTGGGCTCAGGGGCGCTGGAAGCCTTAACAGCTGGATGAGAGAAAATGAGCAATGCATGTTGCGGCCGTAGGTCGCCGTGATCCCTTCCCTTCAAGCAGCCTTCTCTTCCACGACCGGGAGTTTCGGCATTCTGCTGTCGTCGAGACTGCTGTTAATAACGAAAGGTCTTCACATGCAGTTGAATTCTCTCTTCAACTCAAGCTATTCCTAAGGTCCCTAAAGTTTGTTTAGCATTCCGATGGGATCCCATCCTGCACTGCAGGCTCCTGGAAGCGGCCCGCAAGGGAGACTTGGAGGCTCCCCTCTCTGGCTCCCTTGTTCTGGTACCTGCACTCTTCGGAACACCTCAAGAAGGCTGAAGAGAAAAAAAAAAAGGCGACTGGAGGAATCCTCACGCCTGCCTGTGGCTCCATGCAGCACTTCTGGAAGCCTGCGCTCCTGCAACGCCTCACTCCGCAAAGGGGCGACGTAGAAGAAACGCCTGAACCTTTTCAGGGCAGCCTTTGGAGCATCAGCCTTAACACTCAGAGCCCTCGGCCATGGAGCCGGAGGTTGAAGCCCGGATGGAGAGCCGCTTGGCGTTTCTTTGGCCTTTGCCGGCACACCAAAAAGCCCACGAAGCTCACGTTTCGAGAGCTTAAGGCATTGGCGAAAGCCTGTCGCAGGTGGTCACTGCAACTCGGCAATGAAGCTTCATTCAAGCGCAACAGATTCCATGCACGCCTCATCTCCACATATTTATTGTTTCTGGCGGGTTGCTGGGCTGTCGCATACTTTACGTGTGCTTGTCTGTCCCTGCATCCGTCTCTGCATGCACGCCTTCATTACATTGCACGAAGCCTGGCATAAATCCACACATCCGGACATGACCTCGCGAGCCTGGGTGTAAACATGACTTTTGCGACCCTGATCCCGATCTGCAAATAACTGAGGCCTCACAGATGGCAACGCCGCCGCCATCCGGCGGCGAGTACTGGTTGCTGGGAGCTGGGGACACAGTTCGCTCGGGGTCATGCTCACGAGAAGCAGGGCTTGAAGCTCTTCTGCCTCACCAGCAACCTCTCAGTTCCAGTCCGCATTTGTGTGGAGGTGCGAGGTACGGCCGTGTATGCTAGCGAGGGGGAACTAGTCATTGTTTGTTCGCTATCGCCTTCTCGTCTTTTGACATGGGCAGCGAAGGGAGATGGGGAGAGGCTTATTGCTTGTTGCTGTCCTTTGTGGCCCCTTCACTCACTGCTCGATCTTTTGAGTTCCGCAGCAAGAAGCATCGCAAGAGAAGACAGCGAGAGAGAGCACGTACACCACCTGGCCATGCTGAAGACGAGAGAGAGAGAGAGAGGGAGAGAGAGAGAGAGAGAGAGAGAGAGAGAGCGAGCGAGAGAGAGAGAGAGAGAGAGCGTCCCCA